TTCATTGAAAGAGGCACTGCACTTGACGTGTGGCGGCTGATTAACATGCAGCGGGGTTTTTTTATTGTCTTGTGTTCATATTAAGGTATCTGTGGTCTATCCTGTTTGATATTGACCACCCACACCTTTACAGGGTGTCAGAAGTGTTAGAAATGTTAGAACTGAACCATTGTTCAACTCCTATTGTTATTTTAGACGACAAAATTCAGTCTGACGGACAATTTCAATTTTACTAGGCCGACAACATGGCCTGAGTGGAAATCAGTCAAGCCAATTCACACAGCCAAACCAATATGCGAGAATTAATTCAACTCAGATTGAGTGAAAAAAAAGGCTAACCATATTTCCTGTATGTAATTTAAACCGAATGTATTATCATTACAAAAGAAATACTCGTTGTTAGTATTAATTTCAATTTCAGCATCTTGAATGATTGGCCAACTAAGGTACAGAGAAACATGCTGTCTTAGCAATGCAGTTAAATGTAAATACAAAGGTTACATATTTCTTTTAGGTACGAATAAGTGTAAACCAGCCATTTAAGTACATAATGTGCTCCATCTATTTAAAATTATAATATCCACTTTCCTTTCAAATTCGTATTGTACACTTTTCATTGAAGTATACAATGTAAACATTTTCATTTAAGTACATAGTGTACACCTTTCATTTAAAAACATAATATACACCTTCCATTTAAGTAAATAATGAATGTGAACATTCCATTTAAAATTACAATGTTGACTTTCTATTTAAGTACATAATGCACACCTTTTATTTCAATTTATAATGTTGACCTTCCAGTTTGAGTACATAATGTACACATTCCATTAACAAAAAATTATATCAACCTACTATTCAAATTAATAATATACACTTTCCATTTGAGTACATAATGTACACTTTCCATTTAAGTTAAAAACGTTCACTTCCCCTCATCCTATCCCTCTAAGGCGATGACATGCACCCCCCCCCCCATCCTTGGACATTCATCATATGTGCAACGCCTTCGACATGTAGCAGCGGTCATCCTGGACCTGGCGTGTCCAGTCATGACTTGTGCGTCACTAGCCTGCCTTCGACCTGTGAGGGCGAAAACGACGCAAGCTCTCTTCCTTTCACCTTGTTCGGCATGTCATGTTTTCGTCTTGTTGTTGACACTTTCAGCACTACCACGTGACTCTCCCGGTTGAACCGTCAAGGAGCGGGATCCATCTATCACTGACCGCGCTGTCCAGGGGAAATAACTCCCGCTACAAGCAGCACCTCGGGCGGGAGAGAACTCTTCCCCCTTTTCGTCACGCTTGCCTCCCCCTCTAGATCAAATCCGCTTCCTGATTGGAGGGAAGCCCCTATTACGTCATCTGTGCACAATATCGTGTTCTTTTTCTCGACACAGGAGGGGAGTGACGATTTGTGGATGACGATTGTGCTAGGGATAGATAATAACTGTGTCCTTTTTACCTGTTGCGCCCCATTGGTTAATTTTGTGATTTGTGAAAGTCGGCAAGACAGCTTTAGGTCTTCTCTGTAGTTAAGAAACTAGCGTGTGTGCTCAAAATCGGAGAAGTCTTTTCGGTCTAGGGTGTCCAAATACGCACCTCGCCTTTGTAGAGCTGGTGCGCTACTTCAGCCAGAAAGCACTTTATTACAATTTCTCACATTTAAAAATATTTGGTTTGAACTCTGGCTTTCATTGAAACAACGGAACATGGATTTTAGAGATACGTATTTTGCAGGTAAGATTTCACAACTTTGAATAAGAGTTTTGTCTGAAATTGGCTGAACGTAGTTTACTTAACTGTCTCATTTAATATAGGTATTTTGCACTTCCATGGACACAATTTAGGGGGCAGGCTTCAAACCGGCTTGTCAGAGCCAACCGGGGTTGAGAGCGGTTCAACGTCTAAGCATAAAAACTGAGAAACTGGAAAATAACGTAGGAATCGAACCTGGGACTTAAAATCGCGACGGCAAAGTGCCTAACCACAACATAACATACGTTGGTCCTCTGTCTGACGTAGTGACCTGTTGTGCATGTTGAGCTTCATCCCCACTGTTTTACTTTTTTTCTCTTTTGATCAAGTTTGTCATTAAGCTCATACAAAAATGGAAAGTGCAAATAAAACAGAATAAATGTAATCCCCTTGTTTTACTTGAGTGGCAACGTAGAGATCTTTTGGAGAAATAGAAATAGAAGACTATAATCATCGGGTATTTGCTCCAGGAAATATTAATTCTAATTTTAACTTGTGCAAAGTCCAGATGTTTTTCAGAAAGTTCATCAGAGTCTGTTTTTTTAAGAAGCTTAATTCAACTGCTTAACTGACATAGACATTTTAGTCCTCCATCGAGGCAACCGAAATCATTTAATATGTCGGCTACTTCGGCTCCTCCTATCAGGGCCAGCCTAGGTTGAGTGGAGTACAGGATCCCAACAGATAGAGACACAGCTTCTTGATGAAATAAACTTTCTCACAACGGAATTAAACTCATATCTTTTTCCTGCAACAACGAAGAGTCTAATTGTTACAGGACATACACGGGTTTTCAATGATGTGTGCGTTTCTAGTGTTTGTACGACAATTAAAAAAAATGCCGCACAATATTGCACTCAGTCTC